GTTACATTCTACACTGCAGTTGAACACCATTTAGAACATTAGCTTGAAGTGAAAAACAAATCAAGTCTAAAATAATCTATAAACAATGTGAGTATTTTTACAGATCTTTGTAAATCAAGTACAACAGTATTTCAGTGCAAGCTGGCAGACTGAAATAACAGATTGGGACTTTAACAGTATGTTAAAAAGAGGCCAAAGAAAGATTAACATTGCTCTTAACAATAGCAGACGGTTAAATTGGGGTTTATTTGTTGAAACCTCTCAGTTTTTTACAAACAAAGGGGAAAATAAAAAAGAATCTATTAAAATAAAATGGGACAGCGTTTTACAGCAGCCCATATGTAGAGTTCGGACTATGATACTCAACAACAGTAAAAGGGAATGTTTCCTGAGATCCTCCCTGCCGCTTCTTCCCACAAACAGAAAATCTCCTGCTGGCTGCTGCAGTTGCAGAGGCTTTGAACTGAGATAAGAAAAAAACTGAGAAAGCAGGCGGAGAGGCTACTGAGAGGGAACTAGAGAGAGATGCAGACGGAGGGGAAAACTGAGGAGTAAAAGAAACTGTAGGTCAAAGAAAATGAGACTGGGCCGGGAAATAGAAATGTGAAAATTAGAGGGGACAAAAAAAAAAGTGAAAGAGAGGCAGAGATACAGGTGAGAAAATTCCTCCATCGTTTATGTTTCTCTCTTTCCCTTATGGTCTTTTCCTCTCTGCCCTCCTTCGCTTCTCTCGTTCCTCATCTCTTTTGGTTCTGCTGTTTTGTTTATCTCCCCCATTTTCATCCCCTTTAATTTCAACCACTTCAAACAATCCACAAGTCGTCATTTGATCCTGTTGTGGAACAACAACTTCTTCACACACACACACACACACACACAGAAGCATATTCAATGAGGAGTTAACATTAACTCCACAACACAAGACACAGATTACTGCAGAGATTAAGAAAATGGGAGGTGAAGAGAAAGTGTGTAAATGTAAAGAGGGAAAAGAGAGAATGTGATGAGCTAAATACAGAAACAACAAAGAAGTAAGAGAGAGGAAACGAGTGATGGGAGAAACAAAGAGAGGCAAATCAATACCTGTCCCTAAACCTGTAAACACACAGTGAGGAAAGGGATTAAGCCCATAAAATGTGTTGACTGGCTGAATTGCACCAAGAGAGAGATATGCCTAAAAGATGGAGGGAGGGGGAGGCAGCAATGGTGTGAAAGGGAGACTGAGAGAGGAAAGGTTGAGATATAAAAGAGGACTGGAGCTGGGACAGAAGGATGGGGAAAAAGGTATAGGGAGGAAGAAAGAGAAGAAGGTCTGGAGGGAGAGAGAAGTGGAAGCAGAGGAAGGAGGCAGGGGACTGGAGTGTAGGAAAGAGCAGAGGGTGGAGACGTGAGAGGAAAGAACAAAGGGCAGGGGAAAGGGAAAAGAGTCAATGATCGCTGTGACAGAAGAGAAGAGGAGCAGTGGTAGAAAGCAGATGCGAGTTACTCCTGCAGACTAATATGAAGCCAAACCGGTGTATTAACAACAAAGCAAAGACACAAATAGAAAGAAAAGTTCAGAAACCTTCAATTACACACACAGGTGTTCAGAGGGGCATCAGAGACCTGCAGAAAGATTGGTCTGAAATATGAAACTTCTGAAGTCAATAAAAAAAAAGAAAACATTTGATTCTATTTTAAGACAGCTGGAGTTTAATGCCTGACTACAAAGCAGTTTTTATAAAGGAGAAAACACTCATTCAATTACTAATTTTAATCCCCATTAGCTGCTGGCTAACCACCAGCTATTATTCCTGGAGTCACACAACAAATATGATGAATGGCACAATTTAAGAAACTGGGATTTGGCATTGACTTGTGAGTAGGTGTGTGGATTTCTGGCTTCTTCATGTATGAATCAGAATTAGTCAAGTTATTAGTTTGCCACATGCACACACGGTTGCCTGGAAACTGCACGTTTATAAAAAAGGTTGTTTTTTTTATAGTTGAAAAAAATATTTTTAGGAACTGCACTTTCTGCAAAAGATGAACCACAGTGCAACAGAGGCAGTGAGGACAGAGGAAACCAAAATAAGAGAAATGATTAGCAGACTAAATCAAGTATTAGAGGGATTTTTACTGCACTCTGCACATACATTTATCATTTTTGACCCTGTTAATTTCAGCATGTGTTTTATTGCTGCTTCAACTGTACATACAGCATGTATTGTTTGTGTGTGTGTGTGTGTGTGTATGTGTGCGTGTGCACTGCATATCATCATAGCAGAGTGAATGGTGCATGAAACCATCTGTCTCGTGGTAAAATGAGAATTACACTGACTTTATTAGATGTTTGAAACCATGCAGATGGTTATCATTATCTTAGGGACTTGGGCACACACACTCAAGCATGCACAGATGTTCATGCACATACAACATGTATGGACACACAAGTGCACACAGATGAATGTACAAAATGTTGTTTTGTAAAATATTAAAAACATGCTGTTGATTTTTTATATATAACAGATGTACTTTTAATGCTATCTAATCAATTTGAACATTGGTTATGTTTACTAGCATCTATAAAAGCTTAAGGTTTGTGTTCGATCGTTAGCGGTACATAAACAGCAAGCCCACTAATTGAGTGTCGGTATAAGTGTGTATTTGTTCTTTAAATCCCATTGGAGAACAGCATTTCATAACAAGACAGCTGATGGAAAAGTTATCATGTGGATAATATTGTCAGCATCTAATTTAGCCAGCTGAAGGGAAACCCCATCGCAGATTAGTCCCAACAACCAGAGTGGAAGCAGAAATGGCACCACACGCAACACTCAACTCCAAATGTCCTTTTAGAAACTCTCCGTCCATATGGTGACCGAGCTTGGTCTTTTGGTTTAGCAACTTGAATGTGGTGACCTCAGTCATGTGTTGTTTTAAGACAGTTAATGTCCATATGGTGATCACAGCTGTCTGCTGCTTTTGCTGTTCTTTGTTTTCCCTCGATGTCACACCTCCATCTGTAGCCATCTTGTCATATAACCTGCATTGACCTTGAATATGGAAGAATCTGATTATAATGCTATTCTTATTCAAGTCATTCTGATTCTGGCTTTTCATAAGAAACTTATTGTTTCATTCGTTGATTCACATCTTCGTCATCTTGGGTCAGCACATCCTCTGAAGACATATAACTGCTTTTCTGCTTAATCTGCTTTTCACTGTAAATGTTTACAGTGTTACTTTATAATGTTACGATGGTCATTCAAACACATGGTGCAGCCAATAGCATTTAGCATAGCAATAGCATACTATATATGAAAAGATATCCAAAGCAAGACAGAAAACATGAACAGTCTTAAGAGTTTTAGAAAGTTGGATTAAGGAAAACAAACCTGGCACCACACACACGCACACACACACACAAACACACACACATGTTTTTGTCGTCTCTTGAACTATGTTAATAGTAATCACATTACATTTATATGTGTGTCCCAGTGATCCAGTGTGGACCACCTCCTCAAATGCATCATGGGAAAGTGGAGGGGACGGACCACTCCTGGGGATCAAGTGTGAGCTACAGTTGTTTCCATGGCTACCAACTGTCCACTCCCGCTGTGTTAACCTGTGAAGGGAATGGGACATGGACAGGAGACAAACCACAGTGTCTGCGTAAGTTAGCTGTAAAATTCTGTCTAATTTAAACTGATGCACATCACTGCTGTCGTAATTCTAACAGTAACCAAGCGAGAGTGTTGACCGTCTTTGCTGTGTCTTTCAAGCTGTCCTGTGTGGAGACCCTGGCTCTCCCGGAGGAGGATTCAGAGAAGGAAACCTCTTCTCATACCGGTAATATATTAATAACTGACAGTCACTTGACAGCTACTGGCCACACCTTCATTACGGTGCTAATGATAACTATTTGCTAAATTCTTTCTATAATTAAAATACATTGTATGCGTCATCTGAAACATGTTTAATGGAGAGGAGGAGGTATGTCTGATCCTGCAAGGTCACCAGACTTTGCCTCCTTCAGTTTTTAAAAGGGGATTAGACACTTTTTGGCTTCTGTGTCTATATGTCAGTTTGAAATACTGCAAGGACAAAAGAGATTTTTGTCCGCGACCCAAAAAAAGGGCTCAGATTAGGATGTTCAGACATTTATCACTCTACACTGTCCTATTACAGAGGTTTTAAATAAATCAAACTGCATCTGAAATAATTTGTTCATCACTTGTATGTGTGTGATTGAATCTTTGTTTTCCTCCACAGGTCAGATGTCAGGTTCTACTGCCATGCCCCTTACATGCTGGTAGGCTCTGCCTCCAGAGCCTGTCAGGCTGATGGGATATGGAGTGGCCAACAACCGGCCTGTATAGGTAATTAAAATAATGTGAACCCTCAACTACATCGAGAGAGAACGTGCTTTTGAAAGTGAAGCGGTTTTACTGCCATGATGGTGTGGCCCCAAAATGTACACATGAATGCAAGGGAGGAACTAACTAAAGGATTAGAATGTATCTATATATCAAACCACTAGATATATTAAGCACTCATAAAATACTGAGCACGACAAAGTTATTCATATAATTTTTTACAACCTCCATTAAGACAGGCTCATATTTTCCTGTGTGGAGCGCAGAAGCTTTAATGTAGACATAATCCATGTAATAACTCGACCTAAATATGTCAGTTCCAAAATATGTCAGCTAAACACTGCTAGTAACATGCCATATATATTTCTTGTGGGTTTATCATGTTCATTATTTCTGGGGCTTTTAGTTGTCATGGTGACTTTAAGTTTGAGATGTTTTATTGTTATCAAAGCTCTTCACATTCTTTTTCAAACTTCTATATATTTAGGAATCAACATCACCAGCATTAAGAGGATGCTCATGTAAATCTTTGAAATGTTACCTATTATTTTCTTTCCATAATGGATCTGATATTTTATGTATTGCAAAAGAAAACATCCCATCAACAAGCCATGAATACAATGATTAGAAAACAGATTATAGGTAAACCAATTGTAGATTTTACCCATATGCATATGCTGGCATTAGTATTCCTGTGCAGATGGAGCTGGAGATCTAATCAGTCACTGACACGTGTAGATTTGATATCAGCATTTTAATTCTAAAAGACTTTATCTCGGAAATCAGGCCTTTCATGTATGAAGCAAAACTAAGGTTTTTATGGTAACACTTGAGAAAACACGAAGTTGAGAACTCACAAGGTAAAAGATGACTGTGTAATAGCTGAAGAATAAGGCAGCCTTGTGGCCACACAATAGCCATTTATGTCAAGTTCCTCTGCTAAAAATAACTCAACTATGTCAAACAATACAAGACTGTACTGTACTGACAATATGCTCTGACCAGCACTGCAGTGCAGTACTTCTAACTTTTCTGTGTAAGTTGTTGCTGGGTGATGCAACTGGCCAGACTCAGACCCAAGTACACAAAATATGATTTGTCACACTACTGAGGCTCTGAATATTTTTCCATGACTGAATACTAGCTGCACTACACAAATGGAAGTCGAATTATTTAATTAACAATTAATTGTTTGTGTGTGTGTGTGTGTGTGTGTGTGTGTATGTGTGTGTGTGTGTGTGTGTGTGTGTGTGTGTGTGTGGGTTTGTGATTAGGGTTAGGGTTGTGATTAGGGTTAGGGACTCCAGCCTACGGTATCCCGGTCATGGCCCAGG